GTTAAGATACCAGTAATTAGACGGTATTATATCTGACAAAGTTTTATGATTAAATTGGTATGTTTTTACTATTTTTGTTTTACTTATAGGCATTACATACATTTTAACTGATCTAGTAAAATCTAAAATCTAATGAACAATAGATTATTCATCAACATTAAAAAGTTTTAAAACAATTTAAGGTTATCAATGAAAATAGGGATATTATAACAGATTAAGTAACGACTTTGCAAACTAACCACAACTCCACCACTGTGGGTTCAGTCTTCAAAGGAAGTCAATATTTAAGCAGTTCTTACATAGCCCTGTTGATTTGGAATAACTTGGCTCATAATTTTTGCCTAGAAGTATTTCTTCAAGAAAGCAAACAATGTGGTGCACTAAACATAAAGTCAAACCTCAATGATTGAAAAATAATGAATCAATGAATGGACAGTTACCAGTAATACATGTTTATTAAAGGCTTAAACACTAACATCAAATACAAGGAATCCCCGGAACATCAATATCGTGTATAATGATAGCAGGAAATTACGTACATATACAGGACCAATAACAGATAACTAAGTTTTTGGAATCTTATCATAAGTAAGTACAAGCGAAACATTTCTCACTCATATCTTTAACAACTAAATTTCACAACACGGTGATTGAGGCCTTTTAAAATGTTTTTAATGCAGGCACATTAAAAAAACATTTGAATTACTTTTCATATTTTACTTATACGCGTACCTTCGTTATCTAGCTAGAAGTCTGATAGATAAACGTAGTTATTATTATTTATATGTATATTTAGGATTCATACATTTAAAGGCTGTACGCTTTTTTAAATTTAGAATCTTTTTTTTCGTGCAAGTGACAACTCTGAAATTTAACAGTTGTCGGCTATGTTTATTCCGATTATTAAAAATGGAGCGCTTTTCGAAAGAACAATGCGTTATAATTGTGAAAATTCATTACAAAAATGGGGAAAGTTACGCTGAAACCGCTCGCAAACTTCGCGAAATTTTCAGTCGAGAAAGTGCACCTAATGTGTTAACCATTCGAAGAGTGGTCAAAAAATTTGACGAAGCTGGGTCGATTATGGATATTAAGAATCGGTCTCGGTCGGTCTCTTGAAAACATTGCTGCTGTAAACGAGAGTGTCGCCGAAAACCCGATCACATCAATTCGGCATCATTCTCAACAACTTCAAATTTCACGAAGCACTACGCAGCGAGTTTTGACAAAAGACCTTCACCTTCATACGTACAAACGTATAGCGTACAAGATTCAGCTAACTCAGGAGCTCAAACTAGCAGACCATGGAAAGCGCCGGCAATTCGTTCAATGGGTAGTGGAGCAAAGTGAAGTAGATGCCAATTTTTCAAAAAAAGTCATCTTCTCCGATGAAGCGCATTTCCATCTGAATACATAAAATTGACGATTTTGGGGCTCAGTAAATCCTCATGCAATCCATGAGAAACAAATGCGGCTTTTGGTCAGGCGGCGTGATTGGGTATTACTTTTTTAAAGATGAGGCTAAAATTTACACGGCATGGATCTGGACAACATGTGGTGACAGCAGCACAGCGCCACCTGCCACACGCCCATGAAACAATCGACTTATTGCAGCAACGATTTCCAAAACACATTATCTCACCAAATTCTGATGTCCATAGGCCACCAAGATAGTACGATTTAACGCCGTGCGATTTTTTTTCTTTGAAGTTTTGTGAAGTCTTAAACACCCTTTGGTTTGATTGAATTTGCAAATATACCGCCACCAACACTGCGGGGCAGGACTACTGAATGCAACAAATAAAAAATCTAATCATCAGTACAAAATCACGTGCCTAAGTATTTCAATATCCACCAAAGTATTGTCATATAAAACACTGATGAGCCAATAAATATAGTTAAGAAAGGATTTCAGACTATTGATACTAACATTAAATATTATAAGTATAGTTACGATAACAATTTATTTTAATATGTATTTCATGTTTTCAGAGTATAAAATAACACTATCGTTGCGGTCGTATGATTAATAAATATTATGGGAGAATACAGCAATAGGTAATACTGTTTATACCCGACTGTAAAGTCAGTTAATTCATTTAACCATTACTTGGGAAACAAATACTATTATAGCACTTACATCACAAGTAATCTGCTACTGTACTTGTGAGATGTTAACCACATACATATACCTGTACATATGCATATGTACCTTTTATCCAGAAAAAATCACATGAAAGCTATCAGATAAAGGCTGTTGATGGTGATGATGACACTGGTCGGACTTTTAAAAAATTGTGCATATTCTAGCTGACCCGGCAAACGTTGTTCTGCCAGATAAATAATACTTAAACCGCTAATAAAAATTGGGAGGTGGGGGTAGGAGGGTGAAAAATACTTTACGACCTATTCTCATTTCTACTAAATTTACAAAAAATACATTTATAGGTCGAGCTGATTCGGAGGAGTGCGACCACAAACACCTTGCCACGAGATATTTATATATTAGACGTTAATAACATTTTATACAATAGCAATGAGCTGTAATGATGTCGTTTTGTCACAATGTAATATAACTTTAAAATAAATAAATAATAATGCCGCAATGTTGTAGACTATTAATCTGCATTTTTATTCCACGTAGCGATTTCATTATTGTTAAATGATAATATTGGACCTATCATTTTGTACCTACATGTATGTAATTTTTTTCTGATTAAGTCTTGCTCTAACAAATAAAATAAAATTCAAATGATAAAAAAAAAACTCTATGGCGTTAAGTACGCTTGATGCAATGTATTTGCAAAAAGTATAATAACTAAGTTGTTTTTAACATACTTAAAAAAAGGAGGGGTTTCTCAATTATTCGGTTGTAATTTATTACATTTGTTACCTCTGAACTCCGACTTTAATAAACCAATTAAATTTATTTATTTTTTAATTGAGAGGGTACTCCCCATTTTGTTTAATTTAAAGAGCAAAAGTCTCTCCAATAAGGGTACACAGGTTATTACAATACAACATGATGGAGGCGCTTTGAATTCAGTGATAGTTTAAAAAAATATAAGTAAGTAAGTAAGGGTCGAAGTTTTTGGTAAACTGTATGTTTATTATTATTATTAACAGACATAAAGTCTAAAATTATTTAAAAGATTTATGTGTGCGCTACGTCCATCTACGGGTACCCTCATTTCTATTTCTGGTGCTACGATTGAACAACGTTTGTAAACCCTTATAATAATGAATCTTATACTTATCTATTTTGTAATCCTATTATTACATTTTTATAATGAACATTAAAATGTAGCTCACAAAGTGTGTATATAAATATTACTGTATTCAGAATCAATGTTCAAAGGTGGTTCTATGCGAAGAATCCTTTCACTATTAATGCGATGGAGAGGCAATATCTGGCTGTATTGTAAAAGAATAAAAAGGGAAATAAAGTAACTTGTATGGCGGGTCGGTTCCAAGATGCAGAAATCTGTGCGGGGCGTGGGCGTGGGTGAACCGGTCTAGACACGATGAACTTTAAGGATCCGACAAAACAAAAATAAAAGTTTTGCTATACCGCGACACCGACCTTTGGACGGTGGACTTAATGTCTGATTTTAGTCGCGGCCTGATTTACTGCATTTTACTGAACTATAAAAATGTAGCCAGTCGGACCATAAAAATCTTTTTCATCGCATCTTTAACAGAAAAGTGGAACGTTCAGATATCGGCAACTCACTAAAAATTTAGTGTAAGACATAGCGGACAGTCGGTGCCTATTTAGTACCTATCTGTTGAATGCTGTTGCGTGTTACAAGAGTGTGCTAAACAAAGGACCCAGTTATTGTAGTGCTCTTTGGATCAGAAATAAATACACACGCCAGCTAGTAATGGCACTTTTGATTTAAATTGAGTTATTGCTCGTGTCACCTATAATCTGCATTAAATATTACCTTGCACCTACCGACTATTACTTTTTCCAAAATTTAGACAACTTTTTAGTGGGTAAAAAATTCAATTCCCGAGAGGCAGTACAAAATGCCTTTGAAGAGTTTGTTGCCTCCCGTCCAGCTGATTTTTACAAGAAGGGCATCAATAAACTGCCAATGCGTTGGCAAAGATGCGTCGATTGCATGGGTGATTACTTCGAATAACAGAAATAAAAAAGTTTGAAAAAATAAGTACTTTCACTTATTGCATACAAAACGGCAATTTCATAGGTAAAGACCTATTATAAGAAAGGTTATTAATTCCAAGGGTTTCAGGACAGGTATCTTAATAACTGCCTTAGTTGGATTTAGTTGCATATCAAACCATATTTTTTTTATATACTTTGCAGTATTCTTGATTCCGAAAATCACAGATTTAAATTGGCAAAAGTGACAAAATATAAATACGTATTGCTGCATAATCCATAATGTTTTTTTTGTTTGTAGTTTCATTGGTTTAGGTGACTTTTTCATGTATATGCTTTGATAGATTATAAATTGTTTCAGTTTAGTATCTCTGATATTTATGGCAAAGTAAAGCTTGCTTGATTGCCATAGTTTTTGACGTGATTAAATACTACATGGGTTATATTTGACGATAATAATTTCGGATAGGTAATTTAATAAACTTTATTTAAAGACACTTGTCGGAACTTACTTTAAACTCCTGAGAGAAAACTTCAATTTACCTCGAGTGAACACAATTGCAAGAAAACACGAGAGAGGACGTCGTGGCGGATTAGATTAGTGGAGATAAGATTAGCGACGTCGCAAGAGCGCCGCGCTGCAGCCACTGTCTGCCATATGAACCAGCTAATTGCAAACATGTCCCGCTGTGTTTAAACGCATCTTTACAACAATTATTTCTTAGTTTCCTTCAGTTAAACAACATTTTTAAGAAGCCAGAACGTTTAGCATTGTCAGTGACCGATTTCTAGCTCTTGCTTTACTTTAGGGTTTTGTCTTGTTTTGCGGCCTGGACTCGGGCGGGGCTGCACCCTAATGCAATGATTCATATTATTCTGTTTGCGGGCGAGTTGAACGTCTTCCATTATTGTCATTCATCGGAGGAAGTGGGCGGCGAGGGGCGGTGCGGGTGCCGGAGGTAGCCCCCCGCTCAGTTCTCAGTCGCTCGCCGACACTCTCGCTGTTAGCACGCGAGAGCCGCGATGCACGTAGTCTAGACTTGACGCATTCAGTTACGGTCCGCGTGTGTGTGCCCTCTCCGTGATCCGAGATCGGAGCTCGTTTGAACCGCGTATAGTGTAGCTGCAGCCAGTGCACCCCTTCGGATCTTACTACGGTCCGAGCAGAGCGAACATTCGGAGTATCAGCACGCAACATCCGACGGCTCAGCTGACCGGCGCGCCTACTGTCTGCGAGCGCACGGTGAGTGCGATCGATCACTGCATGCACGCGCTCCACATCATTTTGTGTCTATTTCGAGTCGCTCGCGAAACAGCTCCCGATGGATTCTATGTACCTACACATGTCGCACACCCGATCATCAGCCGCTGCGACAGCTGCCAAAGGTTGATGATTTTGCTGTGGAATGACGTCTTCATGTCATATGTCATGGCACCGGTGCACCGAGCGTGTTGATAAACAGTGTCCGTTTTCTGCGAAAATGGACTAGCAAACGAAGATGCTTTATTTGTCGATGGCAAATCGTTTTAAGTTACAAGTCGAATCCACTGTCTTCTGATCGGTGAAATAGTTTTGGACCTCCAGTGTAACACATATTATGATGTTCTGTTTAATACATGAGTGAGCCGATGTCCTCCTGGCGTTTTCCTCTGACAGTCCGTTAATAAGCCAGATGACTTCCCGCCGACTCTCGGTACTCTTCCGCGAAATGCACGTCTAGCGCAGTTCGCCGTAAGCCTGACTCCGCCGCTAGTAATATACAAATATCTCATTGCAACATGTCAAACATTTTACAACATTTTACTAATGAAAATATTTATTGATCGCAAATAGCTAACATAGTAGGTAGACGGCAAGTAACGGTGCCTAATTAGATTTGCGCCATGCCCTCCTTCATAAAATAATGATTGCGTATTACACAGGCCTATCTATTATATTTTATACTCTTATAAACCATGCCACGGCAATAACAGTAATGAAAAAGCATAGGACAAATTATTTAATACGCTACACAGGTGGTTCGTAGGTATGTAAGGCAACAAAACTTGTTATCTCTTATCAATCTGCTCTTGCGAAGGTCGTGCTGATAGACTGATTCCGGTAGTTAGGTATCATTTATATTATGAATACATAATGAAAACGTGAATATCAGTAAATTGAAACAAACAAATATATCAAGGTAAATACTAAAAATATCATGCCATTCAAGAAGGATTGCAACTGACATTTTTTCTTCTAATTAACAATCGTCTATTCAAAACATCAATAAAAACAATAAAAAGTCAACATGACAGCAAATAAAATGATACTCAAAAAATCCTAATTATATCTGGTTACCCACAAATAATTTTTAAAATTAATTGAATTTCTTTATCAAAAAAATAAATAGCAAATCGTTGGTTTGAAGATCTAAGCAGATACTACGTTCATAAGCCACAACTTATAGGCTAATGAACGTAGTACTTGTCACAGTTCGGTTTTCTTAGTAAGTGATGACTCATTTGATAATCATATCTGGGTTAGCAATGGTTACGGAATGCTTTCAACATATTTCTTATATCAGCTTCAAAACTCAAAAATGTTCATTATAATAGATATAAACTTAATCAGTGCCGGTTACTAAATGTGACAAAGTTTGTTCATGGACATAGGCCACAAGGAAAAGAAATTAGGTACGTGTAATGTACCGATAATAATCGGAGCGAGAATTTTAATAGTGCGATGCAGGTTGCATGTTTTCATGATTACTAGGTAGGTACTTCGGTTTATGTTCGCTAGATGACATTGAGTATTGCGGGATGATTCGTTTTGAGAACATTTTATATTACTGTAATTAATTATGTACTCTATCTTATTATAAGGTTGACATGAGTGATTGAACAGGAAATGAATAATCTATGATTTTTCATTATTATGACTTTACTGTGTGATAATAAATAGTTATTATGTATACATCGTTACATGCCTGTAGAATAATATGATTTGAATCCCCATAGAGCAGGAATCACAGGTTAGTTACATATTGATTCTAGTCACAGTTAGTTCCTACCTTTTTTTACCATGAGGTTTTAAGGTACAACTTCCCCAACATTTACAATGTCACGTGTATTTACATTGTCAAAATTTTAAATAATGGAACCGTGGCCGTCCGTTCCTACTTTTTTTCAAATGAGTTTTTATGTCCTATGTTTTTATATATTATAAAAGTCTTTCCCGTGTGTACGTGTATAATGTGTTGTACTATTTACTTAGGTCCGTATAATATAAATCAGCAGTTCGTTCCGGTCAAGTCTGGTTTAGGACTGCTGTCCGCCATTTGATGACCAAATTTTTAAAATTAGACAGGTTTCTGGTATCTTAAGGAATAGCATTAATTTATTGTAAAGTAGTTATCACTAGAGAATCATAAACTCAATTTATACATAACAAACTAAATAGTCTTGTATATCAAATTTTCATTTTCATCATTTTAGGAATTTTTATTGTTTAGCGTAAGGTAACGAAAATTAGTCTAAAAATGATGCTAATAAAGAAATACATTAATACGCATAAAGTTTCACAAAACAATAAATATTTAGTGTCCATTCCACCCTTTAATATTATTTTATGTACCTAGCAATTTGCGATAACGAAATACAGATAGCGTACGTGACTATTCCCATTTATATGAAAAAGATAACAGTTTAAAACTTATAGGTAAAATCATCGACTAATGGGTCAGTCCATTGTCAACAGGTTATTCAACATCGAAGAATGCGTTCGGCGCATTAAGGGCAAATAGATTCTCGTATCTTCAGTACAAAAGAGTATTGACACAGGCAGATAAGCATATCTGAGTGTACATTAATGTAGGTATCTGTGCGGCTGGTGTACACTCATTGTTCCGTTATCGTGTACGGTTAGCGCATTATGTGGCCGATAAGCAAATAAATGGCCGTTCTCTACTGTAAAGACGTCTCTGCTTGTCTGTTCTCAAATTGTAAATACAACACAATCACAGCACATTTTTTCTGTCATGAGGCAGTGCGACAATCACGTGCACTTATGCCATCATTTTAGATGGCAAGTGCAGTGTCGTATAAACAGTGTTAACAGTAATAAATAGCCGTGTTTCCAATGCCAACAAATCCATTTAATGAAGCGCCAAAATTTTTACAGTTGTCCTAAAAAAATCTACTATGAATCTAACAAAAACTAGATAGGTTTTTATTATGCTACGATCTACACACGGTTTCGATAAAGTAATATTCTGTGATATTTTACATAGCCATTTTAATTACACACACCCAAACTAACTATAGCATTTTTTATATATAAACGCTTAGTCCAGTGACCATGTCCTTGCATAAAAATATTTTCACTGAACGAGTACCGAAACTGCGACCGTTGCTGAATGCTCAACCGGCGGACAATGTTGATGTGCATCAGTACTGACCACGATCTTTGTAAGCTGTACTCTTTACCTGGCTTATAATTTCCTCGTGACTTATTGTAAATCTTTTGCAGGTTTAAATGGGACCAAATGGCTTATAATAATTGGTATTTATTTGGAATGTTCCATTTTGGAAAAATCTAAATGAATAAAAGACATAGGTAAGTTGCACTAAAGCAACATTTTCGAAGAGACTTAGAAATTTTGTACCTACTTGCAAAAAATTGGACGGGCTTAGTTTGAAAAGATGTTCGATAAACGTCTCCGTTTTGGCCTTATATAGATGTTCAGACAGTTTCATTAATATCGATCGAAAAGATTAGTGTGTCAGCGACGGTTCAATAGCTTGTGTAGCTCGGGCAGCAATTTTCATAGCTAAGCAATTTCATTGGCAGCGAATGCGAGAGTGACTTGTCGGCGACGTAAGGGCGTGCGGCGCGTCGCGTTCGTTCACTTCGCACAGGCTATATTTAGTGGGAGCGGAGTGCGGTGTGCCGGTGGCTGCGGTGCCCGCACGCCGGCTGCACGCGGAATGCAGTCCGCCGAGCGCCTGACCTACCACAACACCGCACTGTCACAGATTCGTAGCACTCACAGTCTCTTGCCTCGCATCAGGATGCCTATACCCCATCAACCCGTGTCACACACGAAATCTTGCGGAGTCTACCGACGTACCGTTCTTACGATTCACGCTCGTTCCACGCCATTTACGACGACACTCGTAAAAGTACGTTATATATACTTGACACCAATTAGATTCCTCCGAAACCGGTGGGTGCAGCTTGTGTTTTCTGGAATGCAGTTAAATCTTACCGTTGTCTTTCTTTTATGTTTGATTTTTCCTTTATAGAAGAAAATTACGTTTGCTACAAGGGTCTACGCGTGTTATAGGTCTAATGTTTTCACGACATACAAAGAATGACGTCGTGATTTTCTTTCCGTAATGTAATGCGTGCATAAAAGAAGAAACTGACTGACTGATTCATTGACTGATCGATCAACGCACAGTTGAAACAGCTGGGTCTAGAAGCATGAAATTTAAAAAAAAAATACCCCTAAGGGTGCAAAATGGGGGTTGAAAATTAATATGAAACTTCGATATTCTTAACATTAATAAAAAATGACGTTACTAATTTTTCAAAACTATTCTTAAAAAGTGATGTACTAACTCTCAGTAATTACCTATGTTGTCTATCAAAAATAATAATAATCAGACATGAGTAAATCAGTCAGCCAAGTAGTTTGTATCTTCTTTTATACATATACCTACGAGTATAATCTTGGGGTGCAAGAAAGGAGCCTCCCCGAGTGACGTATCCACTGATCTACTATACGTCCGGCGCACCCTGGGCAGTCAGCGAATCCCCACGCTGACTGGCTAATCCTTTCACCACGATGACAATTCCAAGTCCTCCAACAACACCGGCTTTGTGCGTAGTCTCGATTAACATCGAAGGGTTCTCTCAAGATAAATCGGAAATTCTTTCCGATTTATGCCGCAAAACTGGCTGCGACATTCTTTGCGTTCAAGAGACCCATCGAGATGAAACCCAAAGCCGGCCACACATCGATGGACTCACGCTTATCGCCGAGATCTGTCACCCAAAGCACGGTAACGCAGTGTTTGCTGCTCCAGGCGTAAGCATACTTTCCACCAAATGCTCAAACGAGTACGGCATAGAAATTATCACAGTAGATGTTGGTAATTGCTCCATCACTTCCATTTATAAACCACCCGGCACCACATTTAACTTCACTCCGCCAG